TCAGTTGCATTTTAACCTTGGAATATTTTAACCCCTGAACTATGCACAGTCCTGGTCTTAAGATGCTTTTTATTTGGTGGGGAAAATCATATGAAAATGGACTGATCAAAAAAGGCTGCTCTCCGTGTCTTTAAAAAGCAGGCTAACCACCAGGACATTTTGAACCACATTTTGGGGATGCTTTAGTTTGTTTAATGTATCAGTATGCAGCCTTAAAGTTGACTTGGTTATATAGAAGGCCGAGTATAAGATACAGTTTTCTCTTTTGATGAAAATCCACTTTCAGCTGGCAGAGTATGTCATACATGTAACTGGCTGGGGAAAAAATATGGATAAGAGAAGGGCTAGTCTGCTTTCGAACTGATTGAGAAGTCTGAAGTTTTTGTGTCCTGTTAGGGTTAAAAAAAAGGAATTGATGAAATGTCAAAGTTGTCTCAAAATGTAGAACTTGTTTTCATATATGACATAACTATACTGAAGCTAATTTCTACAGGGAGTTAAGAATTAAATAACATCATCAGGAGTGGACATTTATGGTTAGAAGTATTTAGTTGTTTTAATTACATAGGGTTTTTTAAGGAAATCTCAGGATTTATGTGATTTTTCTAAGTTGGAGATCAGGAGGTGAGACCAAATGACAGATTAATAGAAACACAGACATCTTGTAAAGCATTTGTTAGGAATCATTTGTAAAGAAAGGACTTATTTTTGTCTGTTTAGAATTTTTTCTGAATTTAGTTGCTTAATATTATGTCTTAAAATATCCTTAATTAAAGTCAACATAAAGTGTAGAGCATCTTTTGATAGAATGAGGAACTATTGAGGTTTCCTTGAGACTTTCTGTAAAACAGTGTTTAGGTTCTATATAAAAAGTACTCAAATGTGCATTGTTCCTAAGGAACATAAAAGCTTTAAGAGTTTTCTTGATTTCCTTAAGTTGAAATAGACTTCAAGAATAGCTTGTCTTGGCTCTTGTCCAGTGATAAGTAACTAACTTTGCAAAGTCAGTGTTTAATAAATCACTGGAACATTTGCTAATAAGATGGTAGAATAAATCAGTTTTTAATTGAGTTAAATAGATGTTTAATCAGATGCATGTGATTATGTTCTTTCTTGCTAGATTTGAATATTTCAATCAAATTAGATTTTTTTAAAATTCATCTGCAGTAACGAAGTAAAGATTATTTTTTTCATCAGTTTAATTAGATATTGTCACATCTTATTTTCATATTTCCAAGGAAAAACAAATACGAAAGTCACAAGAGTAGTATGAAATTTAGTAGTACAGGACTACCTCAAGTTCTTCACATTTTAACTTAATAAAAGTTCTTTAAACACTGCATTTTCCATACTGTAAAAACCAGACAGACTTCCTTGCAGTCCTTTATTAATCAGCAGCTCTGAGTTTTTAGCATAGTTCGTTCTTATCTTCCTTTATGACTTTTATTCTGTGTGTAGGGGCTAGTGAGGCATTGGACTATAAAGGCACCCGATCTACTTAGGAAATAGTTTTTCTATACATGGGGAATACAAGAAGTCTTCATCAGGGGATTTCTGATGCAACTGGAGTTGTTAGGTGAGTTTAGATACACGCAAAGCAGTGCAGTCTTAAATTGGTCAAATTGATTTCTGAACCACTGCTGTTTCCTTTACTAGCAATTCTCTGGGGGTAAGGTGAATCCCAAAGTGCTAGCCAAAGTGCTATCCCAAGTGCTAGCCAAATAGAGAGTGGAAAAAGCTGTCAGAAGTTAAAGGGAAATATTCTTAGCTTTGGCTCTGTACAAATGTTAGAACAAGCAGTATTCCTTAACACGGGTTATTTGTTGGGAAACACAAAGCGATAGAGAGTATGATTGCGTGAGAGTATGAGATAAAGAGCATGAGAAATGTTGAGCTGGATGTTAAGAAAGGTCTTTTGAATTTGTCAGATGTCTCGTTCTGATAATTCTGTGTGATAGTCTAACTGGCCTAACAGGTAAGAGAAGCAGTAGCTGTGGATACAGTTAGATTCTGACAAAACTTTTGAGACTGGCCAAGTAGAAGGCTTACTCTGTTTTGTGTTCCTGAGCTGTGGTCTTGCTCGTCACTGCTCTCTGCCTCTGACAAAGATTCGGAATTTTTTTTTCCAATGAGTTCTGAACTAGGACTTTAAGATGGTTGTCTGAGGAACTGAATACTGACAGTGATCCATCGGTTCAAAAACTAGGGGATCATTTGTTAAAGCAGTAATTGGCTTAATCTAAGATAATTGATTACTGATGAGTCAATTAAGACTGCACTCCAGGTGGAGGTCCTGCAGAATTCTCCTTCATCTTGTATCTCTAACACATTCAAGAAAAACTTGGTTGGAAGGTTAAAAAATACACTTAAAAAAACAAGTAAGTCATACCAAATGCTTTTAAAATAGAATTAAAATTCGAAACTCTTTTGACATTACTGTGCCTGAAGTCAACAATGTGGAATTTGTTACACAAATATGGATCCCCCTTGTTGTAGGAAGGACATAAGAGTTGCATATAAATACAAAAGTAGTAAAAACTATCAAGGCTGAGGTAAAGGAGAATGTTTGGGGTCAATACATGTTGAAACAAACATAAGAACTGAATTTTTGGGGGAGGAGCTTGGGATGTACTAATAAGAATGTAATTTATAAGATAATTGTTCTGAGTGACTTAACCTTGTTGAGGTCTCAGTTGAAGAATTGCCTTGCCTAGGCATCCTGCTTTTAGAAATGAAAAAATTGCAGGGCCCCAGAGAGGTCATGAGAATGATCAGAGGTTTGGAAACAATAGCTATCCAGAAATATTCAGAGGGTTTCTACATACAGTTTGGGTTGAGCTGCCTTGGAACAATTAATGAAGGTTCTGGAAAAGGAACTGGCGTCACATTTAACAGAATGTGTTGCAGTTTAAGTCAGCGATTTCTCAAGCAGAAATTCTAAATAGTGTGCAGACAACATAAATAAAGTTGCAAACTTGAGAGTAATACAGATTCCTCCTTTTTTTTCTTAGTATACTATACTGTTCTATTTATTTTTTTAAATCCAAATTATCTTACTAACTGATTATTCTTTTAGTCATAATCGAAAATCATAAAACATTAGAGGCTGCTGTTTTTCTTGGGAGACAGAGGGAATGTGTGTTGGTTAAAAGACTGATTTCAAGTCAAGTTTGCAATATTATTTTAGTATTACTGGTGGAATGGCACAGATATCTAAAGTCTTAATGTGCAGGAAGCACAGTTGTGGAGAAAAGGAAGTAAGATGCTGTTTCTGTAAGACAGTATAATTTTGATATAAAATGTGAAATGTATAAATGTAAGATTTTAATATTTCGCAGCTGAGCTTTATTGCTTGTAGCTAGTACATTCCTTTATCCAACCTTAGTGAGCATTCCATAATTTCTTCGGATTCACAGGTTTTTTGTATGTTCACAAGTTCCTTTAGTCTTTATTCCACACCCCACCACCCCCTGGCAGTTGATTCAGACTTTATAATATGTGTTTGTTTTCTAAGCTTGCAACACTAAATAACTTTGGGAGTGTGTATTCCCTATGAATAGTTTAGCCGCTGTGAAACATGGTTATTTTTGTTGAAAAACTTTAATTTGCTTCTGTTCATAATTTCTGCTCACTCCTAAATCATTTCTGGTCTTTGCAGTTTTATAAGGATTTCAAATATGTTGAATTGTAGTACTCCAAACCAATTTTAATTAGCTGAGGAAATGAAAACCAACAACTTCTTCACAATTCAATTGAATAGCTTTGTTTACCAGGATCTAAAATATTCAGACTTCTGTTCTTACTGCAGAGTTCCTGGTCTCTTAAAATCTTCTTTGAATTTAATGTTCAGTCTGAAATGTCTTAGTTTATCTATCCTTTGAGCGTGGTGCTTCATCTTTGCGCTGCAGTTGTCGCAGGGTACTGCTGTATGTTCTCAATGCTACCATCACTTAGTGCCTTTTTTTAATTTGTCTCATAACTTCCAGAATGCGCGATTGAAAATAATGAAAGGGAAAAAACCCCTTGAAATTAACTAGGAAATAATGTTATATATGGGTGGTATTACTGTGTTAAGCGTAGGTGGGGGGCTGTCTGCTGAAGTTAGCCAATTAAACATGAAATACTTGCTTTATTTGAATGTACAACTGAGTAAATTATACACCTTACAAAAAGTGATGTGTTTTTGTTGTGTTTGTATGTACACATGTATTTTTATATATATATACTTGTTTTATATATGTGTATGTATATAGACAAGTATGTATTTATATATGACAATACAGTGTTTTTAAAAAATGTTGCCCATGAAACCTAAAGTGAGAATGTAATGTAAGAAGCCCCATTTTAATTTTATGAAGGAAATGCTATGGCATGGATAGATAAAGAAGGGTTTCTCTAGATATGCTTCCCAGATTGAGCCCACCAGAACAGAATGGATTGGTGAAAAAGAACGTTTTTTTCAGGTTCCTTAGCTGTGGGCAGGGAGCAGTGAAATAGTGGGTGCAGAGGCCTTTTCTGAAGGTCCTGTGTCACTGTGGAACTGGACCTGCACCTGGCACCTGAGCAGTCCCACCGCATGGAAGTGGCGTGAATGTCTGGTCCTGCAACCAGGCACTGTGTGTTTCCATGACGTGATGCACAATGCTGGCCTACGGATGAGCATATCTGGTCACATTAGTGGTGAGGGAGAATGGTTTGTAGTTTCTCTTAAGAGCTCACAGAATATAATGAGGAGGAAATTAGGAATACCGCTGCTGTACACTGTGTAATGTTAAATTTAAAAGACGTAGTTTCACTTGAAACCTGTATTCCCCAAAGTTGGGGTCACATAGGTATTTGATATGTGAATGCAGTACTTGCCTCATTCTTCAGCCTCAGGTATGAACACTGTGGTGTTCTAAAGCATGAAACACTGATATTTTTTGAGACAGAAATACATCTTGATAAATTTTTTATTAATTTTGTTTACTTGCTTTTATAGAATTTTTTTTTTTTTTCAGTTTAACTTTGTTGGAAGAATCCTTGGGCCCAGAGGACTAACAGCTAAACAACTTGAGGCAGAAACAGGATGCAAGATAATGGTCCGAGGGAAGGGCTCAATGAGGGACAAGAAGAAGGTAAGCTCTTGAAAGGTAGCATAGTTTCAGATCCATAGGTTTGTTTTCTAATGGAGGGTAAGCTCATGTCTCTCATTCTTACTTTTTGTGTTCTTACTGTATGCTTTTTCATTATCTAGTGTCTTTAACAGACTTAGTAAATAACACAAGCTGTCCTGAAGATGTTAAATGTGTGTCCTCCATAATGCTGCAGTTGGAAGTCTAATTAGCAATTATAAAGTATTCTTCAGTAATAAGTGACTTATAATTGTGTCATGTAAAGGGAAAAATTGAATTTAAATGTATTTTTCGAAGAAAGAGCTGTTAACCTCAAAGGTGGTGTTAATAATTTTCTTGTATTGAATTACCAAAGTAGTGATTTGTGCAACTAGTGCGGATTGGAGGAGAAAAAATAAAAAAAGTTTACTATATTTCTGGCAGTCAGTTCTGTCAAAGTGAATCAAAAAGCACCGTGTTCTTGGTTTTGTTTTGTATTCAGGTGGAGCTGCAGTGTAATTAGGGCTGTTCCTTGCCCCAATTATGTAATATGCTCTGCCCATATAAATAGGGAAACTGCATGACAGAGCCATCCTGAATGTGAGGTTGCTCTTGTGGTAACTATTTTTTCTAGGTTTATTTTCTAACTGCTTCGCTCTACCTTTGGCTACTGCTGCTTGACTTGTACCAACTTCTCCCCTGCATTTTTCAAGTGTTCACTTAATACGGCTCTTTTCCTTTTTGTTCCCAGTACTGTTTCTTTTGGTTCTTTGGTAGAAAACCCCGCCTCTTTTCCTTACCTGACCAGCCACATAGTGCATTCTATTGATACATATGTGGCACATACCAATTAAAATAGAAAGCTAATGTCTACCCAATTAAACATTTCTTTCTTCCAGAGCTTGTCACTCTAACTTTCAAATTTCATTTTATGCCTCTTGTTTTCATAATATACTGTAGTATTGTTACCACCCTTTCTCTTATTCTACCTATGGCTATTTTGGATTTTGAGATTTCCAGCTTATGAGCAAAGATCTGGTCTAACCTAGAGAGATTTTGATTGTCTAGGTTCTGTAGAAGCAAGAGGGTGTGACTATCTGTGTTTTTGTTAGATCTATAACAACCTTCATTCTTTGAATGCCTTTTATATTTAGTCCCGCTGTAGATATGGCCAGCTAGCAATCATGTTCTGTTTCTACAACATCAGCAGGGCAGGCACTTACGCAGCACCAGCCTGTGTAGCACATGTTTCTGTGCTATGTATTTGGTTATTTTCGGCTGCCAGCTGGGATAACAGGACCTTCCCTGAAATGTTACTGTTCTGACCTATCCGTTCAACATTCATATAGGTCTTGGAGTTTGTGAAATGTCTGTTACAGAAGCACAGAATGGTGGATGTTGGAAGGGATCTCTGGAGGTTCTCTTCCTGGGGCAGGGTCACTTAGAACAGGTTGCCTGTAACCATGTCCAGATGGCTGTTACATTTATTGTCCTCCCACCACTGTGCTTCAGAACCTGTCCTGTCCTGTGTGGAGTCATCTCTCTAGATAGCTTAAGAGGGTTTACTGTCTGGGGAAGTAATGTTAGTGGACTGATTTCCTTCACTCTCTATGCTTTTTTAAATTATTATTAGTTTTTGACTGTTCAGAGGAGTTTGGGTGTGGGAGTTATTGGAGTTTTGTGTTTAAGAAAAAGCTTAAAGGAACAGAGACCTCCTGTGTGAATCGTGATATTTTTATTTTTTAAGTTTAGTAAGAAAAGCCATCTTTAACAAGGATAAGCATGGGAGATCAGCTGGAACCTTGTGTACATTAAAAAGTACAAACTGATCCAGCCAGCACTCGAATGCCCATTACATTTTCTAAGTTGGTTGTGTCATATTTTTGGAGCACAGAGTACTACTTGAACATTGTGGATTTAGTAAGATAATACTGTGGTTAATATTGAATGTATTTGAGTGGTATCATAGTACATTTTAATACCAAATAGTATGATATTGGTTGTAAACCAGTGTTGAGTACCAAATATAAAACTGATTTTCATGCCATTCATTCATCTTTCTAAAATTCTCCTGAGGTGATTTGTACTGGTTATTAGTTATATTTTTCAGAATGGCCTTTTTGGTGCATACACCACTGTTGATGTAATATACACATGTTGATGTTCATAATCCTTGATTAGGATGCAGTTTGTGATGCACACCAATAAGATGTTTCTTGTAACAACAAAGATTTGGAAACTGTATTTAAGACATGGTAGTCACAAACAGACTGAAGTAAGAATGAGTTACATCTATCAGTTTGGGGTGTACGTACTCTTTTTACTATTGGCTCTTGCCTCTTTTTCTGATCAGTAATACTTACAGATGAACTTCCTAGTCTTGCGGTGCAAGATGATCAACTTCCTTGACAGTCTGTGCCATTTAATGGTAACTACCTTTTTTTTTTGGTCATTTTCTCAAAGGGCTTCTCTCTCTGTAGGCTGTACTTCAAAATGCTAATGCACTTCCAAGTTTAAAATGCAGAAGCATTTTTTTCATGGAAGGTTACACTAATTCTTTTCAAAAACTTTTCCCTTCATTTAGAGTCCATGTTGTTTAGGAAAGTCAGTAGTTAATGAGACTTTTCCAGTTTTTCACTGAATTGTTTGAAATTTGAGGGAGATAAGAAATGGAGTTTAATTTTTATTTGTATTTTGTAAGTATATTTCATATCTGCAAACCTGATTTCCCAGTGCTAACTATAAAAGAAACTCTGTTGGTTTTGGGAAGGAATTAGTTAGTAAACCAGTGTCGATCTGATGTGACAGCTACATGGTACTAAATATAGGTACTAAATACCATCTCCTTGAGTAAACTGTCCATGTACTTTTCCTACCTTGCTCGTGGCTTCAGAACCCAAGAGAAAATACAAAAGGTGTACTGGAAAATAAAACATCCAGATGTGCTCCGTAGAGGATTTTACTCTGCTGTTTGGACCTAGGAACAGAAAAAATGAATTGGAAGTCTTTGTCACATGGCCGAAACACTTGAACTGGCATCACATCTTGAAACTTGCTGACAAATTTCCCCCAGAAAGCAAGGGAAATCCTCAAATTGTTAGTATGTGAAGTTTGACTGGTAATCAGAACATCTCTCTAGGCAGCTTTCAGCAAATTTAAAATCAAGACCTTAATTACTGAGAATATTGTGATTAGAGCCTGGGGGTACTTGAAAGAGATTATTGGGGAGAGGAGAGGAGTTGCAGGCATTCATCAAAAGCTAATGAATGTGTAACTTTATTAAGACCAAGACATTTTTTGCTTAGTGTGAATGTACCTTTCATTAGGAACTGAGGAAAACTAGTAACTTGCACACCAGTTAAAAAGTACTCGTTAGTAAAAGTGGAGACTGTCCAATGATGGCAAAGCAAAATATTTTTTTAAATTTCCCTTGTAGTACATGAATTCCACAAAACAGGTATTGACACACTCAAAGGGAGTCAGCCTAGTGCTCTTTAACACACTTATTGCCATTATTTCACTTAGAGGTGTGTGAAGCCTTACAGCATCAGGCTACTGGCTTGTGGCAGTTTTGGTCAACTCCATTATGTTTTCCCATTTCTTCTGATGTTTAGACAAGAATCTCCTCTAGAACAGTGTGTGATGAGAGAGCGTTACTCATTTCTACTTCATGAGTAAGCATCTCGTTATGAGATGCAGAATTTTTTTCCTTAGAATTGGCTATTTCAATTAGAAAGGCAGGCAGCTATGCAATTCTGAATTTGAAAAACTCTGTGCCTTCATCCACTGTAACAGCTTCAAATCTGTTGCAGTTCACATTAGATCATTTGAACTGATTTTTGGTTTCTGACCTACAGTTTACTTGTTCCTACATCACTGTTCACCTTGAAAGCAGAAGTTACGTAAGGTTTCATTGACACACAAGCTCTCAGTTAGTGTTAGTCTTGACCTTTGACTTGTGTAGAGTTGTTACAGTAAATAGATAGTTCCATATCTTTGAACTGTCTGGTTTTCTGTTTTTATAGTAAGGGTAAAGAGGAATTAGAAACCACCTGTCCTTGGTACCTGCATGAAATTTGAGGAAAACTATCAGAGTGGAAAAATTTAACTGTCTTCTGGTCAGGATATTTTATTAAATTTATGTTCTGTGTAGTAGTATATATTTTATTCTTTGAATGCCTTTTAGTCTCTGAAATATCACCTGATATACTTTGACTTCCAATGGAAGGCCTTAAACATTCAGTTTAGCTAATAAAGTGATGTTACTGACATCAGATAATATATACTTTGTAGTGCATCTTGTTAAACAAGCCCTGTTATTGCTACCGTATGTGTAAGATGCTTAACTTTCAAATTCACTGAAAAGTACTATGTGTGATCAAATCATAAAGATCTGGTGAAACTGTTCTATGTTTCAAAATGGAAGTTTGACCAACCATCATTGTTCTTATGTTCTGGGAATAAATTACTTGGCTCAGGCCTGTGGCTTCTAAAATGTGCCTTTACATACAAGTATGCTAATAGTGTTTGACAGTTTCATATATCTGTGTTGACAAATCATGGCCACAGTTTGGAACGGCAATTTAAAAAAGTTCTGTCACTGGTTGCAAAGATGAGATTTTGACTATTTGTCAATTCCCTTAGGAATTGCAGAGAAAAAATTTCTTTAGGTGACTGGGGGCATTGACATGTGAAAGTGACAAGCAATTCCATGTATATAATACACGACTAGAATGACAGTACTTTTATTAAAAAAAAAAAAAATAAAATAATCCCTTTCTGACCATGCTGGTGTTGTTTGTGGAGGTGAGATGCTTACTTTTCCATTTAGAACTGTAACTAGCAGAATCCCTTGTCAATATCCATCCTTAAGGGTGCTGTTGATTAAAACTGACTTCTAGTCACTGGGATCTGACTGAAACGCTGTGGAGTAGCAGTTGAGCATGTTTGATATGCTGGATTCTGCTTCATTAATTTCTGTTGCAAATCAAACCTGCAACTTGTCTATATGAGGGAGTTACATT